TCATCAAGGCAAATCTTTCGATATACAGCATATCCTTGATATTCCGATTTCAATATTCTCAAATCTTTCTGTAGACGTCTTTTTGTGAAGGTGTAAAGAAGCGCGCATTGCTCCTAGTAGACTCCAGCAAGGACCTTTCGATAGTACTTTTTCTGTAGATTACGTAGCTTTAAAAAGTAGTCACAGGCATCTTTCCATAGGAGTTAGAAGGGCTGGTGAATTCTGGAAAAATCATGTCGTTCTAAATTTTTCTCAAGTAACTCTAAAATATGAAGCTCTCTTGCTAAGCAGATGTGATTTTCGTAATCAGCAGGTCGGATAACCTTTATAAGCAAGTTTTCCAAGATGTTCGAGTAATTTCATTTTTTCTCGTTTTACGCTCTGAAGCTGGCCGATGGATTTTGGTCAAAATGTTCATGTTCTTAAATTGTAAGGAAACTTCGCTTATAGAGGTTTTCGAATACGCTCTTTACGAAAATCGTGGTCTTTGAGGATTACAGGGTCTTCTTGGAGAGATACGGTGAGGTGACTGTAACTGCATCACGAAAGCTCGTAACTTCGCCTCCACCTCTCATGTGTCTGTCAAAGAACCTGCCTGCTTGCTTTACTAGTCAAAGATACTAGGAGATGTGCTATCGAATGGCGCAAGACTCAGGCTCTAGTCTATAAAATTCGCCGAGTTACGAGCCTACGAAAACACGTTCTCATGAATTTTGCTCAAAATGTAAAGATCGCAGATTTCGTCGAAATTCCACCGTGAGTGCTTGTATGACGCTCGCATTGCGGATATTATGTTCGCTTTGCTCAATAACTCCACCGTATTGAATATGGTGCTTGCGTGTGCTTCAGCAATTGATATCAAAGCTGTTTTGTGGCTAGAGCTCAAACCACCAAATCTCACAATAAGATCCATTAAGAATGTGAAAAGATTTGATCAGCGTATTGTACAAGCACTCAGGTGGAATTTCGACGAAATCTGCGATCTTTACATTTTGAGCAAAATTCATGAGAACGTGTTTTCGTAGGCTCGTAACTCGGCGAATTTTATAGACTGGAGCCTGAGTCTTGCGCCATTCGATAGCACATCTCCTAGTATCTTTGACTAGTAAAGCAAGCAGGCAGGTTCTTTGACAGACACGTGAGAGGTGGAGGCGAAGTTACGAGCTTTCGTGATGCAGTTACAGTCACCTCACCGTATCTCTCCAAGAAGACCCTGTAATCCTCAAAGAGCACGATTTTCGTAAAGAGCGTATTCGAAAACCTCTATAAGCGAAGTTTCCTTACAATTTAAGAACATGAACATTTTGACCAAAATCCATCGGGCAGCTTCAGAGCGTAAAACGAGAAAAAATGAAATTACTCGAACATCTTGGAAAACTTGCTTATATAAGTTATCCGACCTGCTGATTACGAAAATCACATCTGCTTAGCAAGAGAGCTTCATATTTTAGAGTTACTTGAGAAAAATTTAGAACGACATGATTTTTCCAGAATTCACCAGCCCTTCTAACTCCTATGGAAAGATGCCTGTGACTACTTTTTAAAGCTACGTAATCTACAGAAAAAGTACTATCGAAAGGTCCTTGCTGGAGTCTACTAGGAGCAATGCGCGCTTCTTTACACCTTCACAAAAAGACGTTTACAGAAAGATTTGAGAATATTGAAATCGGAATATCAAGGATATGCTGTATATCGAAAGATTTGCCTTGATGAACTGAGCACAAAGCTCTCTTCGGATTCAGAATATGTTCATTCCGAAGGAAGTTACGGCGAGTAGAATTTAGAAACGCGTGATTTTTCCAAAATTCACCAACGCTTCTGTCTCTTTTGGGAGACAGTCTGCAGCTACTCTTGAACGCGCGATAATCTACAAGGACAGTACTATCGAACAGTGCTTACTGGAATCTTTTATGTCACACAGACGCTGCGTTACATCCTTGCGAAAAGACCTCCACAGAAAAAAATTCGAAAAAACTGGAAATGGAATATCGAGAGCATACTGTATATCAAAATATTTGCCTCGACGATCTGAACACAATGCTGCTTCTGAATTCGGAATATATTCATTCCGAAGGATGTTATGGCGTTGCGTTCTCTGCGTGATTCGCACGGTTTCGCGGATCCTGAAATGTCGCGAACTTCCCGGATTATCACGCACTTTGGTGGAAATCCCGGAATTCCGCGAAGTTCACGGAAAATTTGACATTCTGTGCGCGGTATTGTGATCTTGAGCAGATCTTAAAACAAATTCGATCAGAGCGGCTCTCTACCATACTGCTATAGTATACTGTCTATGTGTCATCAGCGACAGATCAATGGTAATACTGTTATCAGCACACTAAACTTAACCAAAGTAATAATCGATAATCTAAAAACTAATATTGTATTCGGAATCCCCATGCTCGATTACCATTGTGATTGTGCAAACTCCCAGCCCCGTAGCTCAAACTTTGCAAAAAAATCGATAAAATCGATAAAATTAATCGATAATCCCGAAAACTAATATTGTATTCGGAATCCCCATGCTCGATTACCCCCCTATGCAAACTCCCAGCCCCATAGGTGAACTCTGCAAAGAAATCGCTAAAAATCGATAAAATCGATATCGATCGATGAAGAAAAGTAGCCTATGACACCCGCCGGTGCCCGACGTGTATGTGTGCCAAGTTTGGTCCGGATCGGTTCAGAAATGGATTTTTCTATTCGGAACATGCGTACAGACAAACAGACAAACAGACGTTCAGCTTCATATATAAGATGATGCGTCTCGTCGAGCTGAATCGAACGGTGTCCTCGGATTCAGAATTCGTCCATTCTGAAGCGAGATATGGCTAAATTGACGATCATTTCGGCGCACTGCGGCGGAGTGTGGCGCACTCTGCCGCACTCCGGCGCACTCTGCCACACTCCGCCGCACTCTGCCACACTCCGGCGCACTGTGGTGAAGTGTGGCGGAGTGCGCCGCAGTTCGGCGACTTTTTTGACGAATTATGAGCGGTATTGTATATAAAGCTGAATGTCTGCTTGTATGTCTGTATGTCTGTCTGTATGTCTGTCTGTACGTATGTTCCGAATAGAAAATTCCATTTCTGAACCGATCCTGACCAAACTTGGCACACATACACTTCGGGCCCCAGCGGGTGTCATAGGCTACTTTTCGTCATCGATCGATATCGATTTTATCGATTTTCATCGTTTTTGCAGAGTTCACCTACGCGGCTGGGAGTTGGCACAGGGGGTAAGTGGGCATGCTGATTACGAATGTAGTAGCTGTTTGTGAGAATCTTATATATAAAGCTGAATGTCTGTTTGTATGTCTGTATGTCTGTCTGTCTGTATGTACGTATGTTCCGAATAGAAATTTTTATTTCTGAACCGATCCGGACCAAACTTGGCACACATACACTTCGGGGCCGGGCGGGTCTCATAGGCTACTTTTCGTCATCGATCGATATCGATTTTATCGATTTTCATCGTTTTTGCAGAGTTCACCTACGCGGCTGGGAGTTGGCACAGGGGGGTAAGTGGGCATGGCGATACCGAATACTATATTAGTTTTGAGAATTATCGATTATTTTTATCGATTTTATAGATTGTTTTGCAAAGTTTGAGCTACGGGGCTGGGAGTTGGCACGGGAGGGGGGGGGGGGTAATCGAGCATGCTGATTACGAATACAATATTAGTTTTCAAAATCGTCCATTACTTTTTTGCGAAGTTTGAGCTACAGGGCTGGGAGTTGCCACAGGGGGGGGGGGTAAATGGGCATGCTGATTTCGAAAACAAAACAGGGAACGGGAAATGAAGTGTAGAAGTGGGCACAGGGAAAGGCTGTGCAGGGATAGGGATGGGACCTTTATTACAGTGTTTTGACAGGCCCGAGCGGAGCCGGGTAAGCAAGTGTTGATATATATTGATAATGATGTTGATGTTGATGATATTTCATATTGATGTTTTATGAACTTTGGGAATTTCTGACGTTCAGTAGACGCCATACTCCTCCATTTTTGGATTTCTTATTATGATTCTTCTTTGTCACAGCTTCAAAATTATTGCTACGACTTCTTGTGCGTACTTTTTGCAGCTTTCCGGATTTTTTTCGTGCTTTATTCCGTAATGCATTACAGCACCGCAGTACCAGTCTCTTCGTATGGATTAGCCGTTTGAGGAACTCCGAAGTTGGTGACCCCTCTTCCTTGAGATCCTCTCTCCCATTCGCCCAGGGTCTCTGACGGATTCGTCCGCCTTGAGTCAAGTTGGTCAGCCAAGCCCTGGTAGTTTCGTTATCCGCGTTTGGATAAGGGAAAAGAATCTCGGCAGAGGACTTCTCACCTACCGAAGAAGGAAAACTGAAGACTCTAGCAAGGGACTTGGCTTCTATTCAATCATCTGATTTTTTTCGGTGCACCTTTGTGTGTAAATAAATAAATAAATAAGTAAATAAATAAATAAATAAACAATTAAATAATCAATGACGAAAAATAGCCTACGACATCCGGCACGCCCTGAAGGGCATGCGTGCAAAGTTTGGTCTGGATCGGTCCGGAAATAAAAATCTCTATCCGGAACATATGTACACACATACAGACATAGTCAGACAGACCTACAAACAGACGTTCAGCTTCATATATAAGATTGCTTTTGCAGAGATTCAAGATCAAAACGTTGCAGTCATCAATCTATCCATACGCCGCATGATATAGAAAACAAATTCTCATTAATTCTGCAAAAGATAAGAGCGAAAAAAATTCAACAGGCGGTCTCTCAAAAATCCGCTGACTCAGCGAGCGGTCTTCCGAAAAGTCCTGATTGCTTTACAAAAAATCCGCGAGCGGGGTGCGAGAAATCAGCAATCTATTTTTCCGGTGTCCGCCTGCCCCCAGCGATTGTCTGAGCTGCTGCTCCTCTAGCCGGCAGAGCGGCCACTACTCCAAATCAATTTTGCAGGCCGCGAGGACACTGCTGCTCCGCGATAGAAAGGGCGATACATACCGCTGCCTAGATGGCATCGCCCGCAACCCAGCACGTCCAAGGCAAACCTCACCGGATTCATTTTAGATGGCCAAGCCAAGAACAGGTCTGACTTGACGTCGGTTTTGCGACCGACTGAGGGCACTTTATTGTGGACGAGAAGCATCTATTAAAGACAGTCAACGCAAGCAAGCTGGATATGGTACGTCCTCAGGGGGCCAAACCAGTGCCTCGCGTTCTCCACAAAAGGTGAATTGGTAAAAGAACTTATTTTCATTTGGTATAGACGCCACTGCGAGCGATGCCAAACCGATGGTTTGGAGAATTTTGCATCAAAACGAAATTGAGAATTGTGTGAAGAAGTGTTTATGTTGATGTTTAATCTTACTGTTATCGTTTTAGGGACGAACCGCCTGTAAGACCTCTAACTTCTAAACCGAAAGCGGAGCCTACTGCCGAGGATTTGAAGAACGAAGTGCCGTTGGAGCGTGAAATTGTCCGCATAATAAGCGAAATCGTCAAAAGAAAAACGTTAAAAGGAAGCGATTAAGGAGAGATGCGAACGAAGAGCGACGGCGACGAAGTTGCAAATCTTGATTAGTTTTGCTGATTTTCGCATGTACATGTCAGGAAAAAGAAGAATTTTATTTAGTTGTTTTTGATGTTAATCGCAATATTATTTTCGTGTAAGAATTTCACCATATTATTTTGAAGTAATAAATAATTTTCATGAATATTGAGTTTTTTCTATACAAACGTTTACCGCCTCGAATGAGGCCGGTGAGTTCACTGGTTACTAACACGGAGGGAATTGGGAATTGGGTTGGCATGTAGAAGTGAGCACAGGGAAATGTTGCATAGAGATAGGGATGTGACCTTTATTATAGTGTTTTGACAGGGCCGGGCGGAGTCGGGTAAGCCAGCTAGTAGCTTATATGTTGCAGCTTCACAAGCTAACAATTTCCTTCATTGAAGTTTGCTACCACGCAAGACAGAAGTTCAAACGGAAGAGCGTAAGTTCAATATAGTGTTTTTCATATTTATGTCATCAAAGAACTTAGACGTGACTCACATTGGCCCAACAATTTAGCATGATGGTTATGATGGTGGTTATCCGGAATGTCGTCGACGCGCTGTTTAACATCGTGTTCCAAATAGTTCTGTAAAGTGTCTGTGTACGTCAAAGCCATCAGTAAGTTGAAAGAAACTTGGGAGAAGGAAGAGCCATAATGATTTGCACCAATGTGAGGCGCAAGTCATGCACTAGTGGCTTGCGAACGAATCTGGCTGTGACGTTCTTTCTTGATTTTACCGCCTGGCATCTATCCAATATCGAGGAAGAGAAAAAAACCATTGGCAATCAACAATAACGCTGTCCATTTAATGTTTCCTTTATGAATGTAGGATAGAGGACTATACGTCGCCCGATAATGGAAAGACGATGCAGCAGATACTCAACCTGTGCAGGTATTGGCATGTGTCTTTATTGTAGATAAGCGCTGGGACGTCCCAATTTCGGCTACATGTAGTCCCCTACCCATAAACATAAGCTCGGAATTCGAAATCCGAAAACAGCATTGTATTCAGCTCGTCAAGGGAATCTTTCGGTACACAGGCTGTGTCTAATACCTTGTTTTCAATAATCTTGAATTTGCACGCGGACGCCTCTTCGCATGGTGGTAACGCAACGAGCATCACACATAGGAGACTGCCGTGGGCACCGTTCGATAATACTCTTTCACTAGATTATCGTGCGCTAAAGAGCAGCCGAAGACTCTCTTTCAAAGGAGATAGAAGAGCTGATAAACTCTGGAAAAATCAAGTTTTTCCAAGTTCTGCTAGCTACTTCCTTCAGAACGAGCATGTTCGAAATTCGAAAGCAGCATTGTGTTCATCTCGTCAAGATGAATTTACTGGGCACAGCATGCCCTTGAAATTCCGTTTCCAATTGTTTGAAAATTTTCTGCGTGCGTATATTCACAAGGTCGCAACGCAGCGTACATCAAACATAAAAGAGTCCAATAAGCACTGTTGGATTGTGCTGCTTTCGCAGATTATCGAGCGCTAAAAAGCAACCGGAGAGTCTTCTTGAAAAAAGATAGAAGAGCTAGTGAGTTGTGGAAAAATCGCGTTGTCTCAAGTTTTGCCCACCGTGACCCTAAAATGAGAAGCTTTACTGCTAAGCAGATGTGATTTTCGTAATCAGCAGGTCAGATAACCCCTATGAGCAAGTTTTCAAAGAAATTCGGGTGATTTGATTTTTTCTCGTTCCACGCCCTGAAGCTCGCCGATGTTTTGGTCAAAATGTTGATGATCTCGGATTGTAAGGAAACTTCGCTCAGAGAGGTTTTCGAACACGCTGTTTACTATAATCGTCTTTTGCGCGGAGTACAGAGTTTTTTAGCAGAGATATGGTGACGGAACTTTGGCTGAGCCACGCAAGTTCTTAGATTCGCCTGCATTTTTCGAGCACCTCTTAAAAATCTGCTGGCTTGCCTCCACAGGTTAAATTCACTAGAAAGCGTGCTATTCAACGGTGCATGCATCCGGCTTCAATCTGTAGCAATCGCCGAGTTAGGGGTTCACTTCGCTTGAGGAATCTATCCTGCTGTGCTGGAAGTGATTAAATAGATCCGAGCTCTAGCCACGAATCTGCTTTGATATTCACTTAAGGGCTCAGGCACACATAACAACCAGATCCAATACAATAAGATCTCAAGGATTTCGAGTTGAACACAAAATTGGTGACCACAGTGTTTTATAGTCACTTAGGTGGAATTTCTACGAAGCAGGCAATCTTTACATTTTGGGCAAAGCTCATGAGGACGTGATTTCGTAGGCCCCTAACTCGGCGACTGCTACAGATTGAAGCCGGATGCATGCACCGTTGAATAGCACGCTTTCGAGTGAATTTAACCTGTGGAGGCAAGCCAGCAGATTTTTAAGAGGTGCTCGAAAAATGCAGGCGAATCTAAGAACTTGCGTGGCTCAGCTGAAGTTCTCTCACCATATCTCTGCTCTCTACTCTGTACTCCGCGCAAAAGACGATTATTGTAAACAGCGTGTTCGAAAACCTCTCTGAGCGAAGTTTCCTTACAATCCGAGATCATCGACATTTTGACCAAAACATCGGCGAGCTTCAGGGCGTGGAACGAGAAAAAAATCAAATCACCCGAACTTCTTTAAAAACTTGCTCATAGGGGTTATCTGACCTGCTGATTACGAAAATCACATCTGCTTAACAGTAGAGCTTCTCATTTTAGGGTCACGGTGGGCAAAACTTGAGACAACGCGATTTTTCCATATCTTTTTTAAGAAGACTCTCCGGTTGCTTTTTAGCGCTCGATGATCTGCGAAAGCAGCACAATCTTATTGGAGTCTTTTATGTTTGATGTGCGCTGCGTTGCGACCTTGTGAATATACGCACGCAGAAAATTTTGAAAAAATTGGAAACGAAATTTCAAGGGCATGCTGTGCACAGTAAATTTAACTTGACGAGATGAACACAATGCTGCTTTCGAATTTCGAAAATGTTCGTTCTGAAGGAAGTTACGGCTAGTAGAACTTGGAACAGTTCGATTTTTCCAGAGTTTATCAGCTCTTCTATCTCTTTTGAAAGAGAGTCTGGGCTGCTGTTTAGCGCACGATAATCTAGTGAAAGAGTACTATCGAACGATGCCTACGGCAGTCTCCTATGTGTGATGCTTGTTGCGTTACACCCATGCGAAGAGGCGTCCGCGTGCAAAATCAAAATTATTGAAAACAAGGTATTGGACACAGCCTGATACCATAAAATTCGCCTTGACAAGCTGAATACAATGCTGTTTTCGGATTTCGGATATACTCGTTCGGAGAGAAGTTATGGCCTTGCGTAATTTGCGTGATTCACATGATTTTCGCGAAATTTCCGGAATTTCGCGGAATTCCAAGAATTCTTGGACAGTCACGGAATTTCTGCACATTCTGTGATCCATTGAACAATGTGAAAAGATTTAGCCAACGTGTTGTACAACCACTCGCGGTGGAATTTCGACGAAGTATGCGATCTTTGCATTCTGGGCTTCATGAGGACGTGTTTCCGTAGGTTCGTAACTTGGCGATTTTCATAGATTGGAGCCTGAGGCAGCCACCTTTCAATAGCACGGTTCCTATAACCTTAGCACATAAAAGCAAGCAGTTAAGTTCTCTGGAAGATACGCGAGAAGTGCAGGCGAATTTACAAATTTTCGTGACTCAGTTACAGTTACCTCACCATATCCCCTCAAAAAGACAATTTATTCCCCAAAGACCATGATTTTCGTAAAGAGCGTGTCCGAAAACCTCTATAAGCGGGGTTTCCTAACAATCGAAGATCACCAACATTTTGAACAAAATCCACCGGCGAGCCTTAGAGCGTAAAACGAGAAAATATGAAATAACTCGAACATCTCGGAAAACTTGCTCATAGAGGTTATCCGACCTGCTGATTACGAAAATCACATCCGCTTAGAAAGAGAGCTTCATATTTTAGGGTTATGGTGAGTAAAATTCAGAACGACATGATTTTTTCAAAAATCGTCAGCCATTCTATTTCCTTTGAAAAGGAGTCTGCGGCTACTCTTTGGCGCTCCACAATAAAGAAGAATTACTGTCGAAATATCCTTGCTTGAACCTACTAGGGGCAATGCGCGCTGCTTTACACCTTTGCGAAGAGCCGTCCGCAGAAAGACTGCAGAATACTGAAATCAAAATTTCAAGGACATGCTATATATGGAAAGATTCGTCTTAAAAAGCTGAGCACAATGCTTCTTTCCGATTCAGGATATGTTTATTCCAAAAAAAGTTACGGCGAGTAGAATTTAGAAACCCGTGAGTTCTCCAGATTTCACCAGCGCTTTTATCTCTTTTGGAAGGGGCGGCCATACTCTCTAGCGCGCCGCAATATTCAGAAGGAGTACTATCGAATGCTACTTAAAGACATCTTTTTACATTGGATAGGCGCTGCGTTACATCCTTGCGAGGACCTCCACAGAAGAATTTGAGAAAATTGGAAACGGAAAAACGAGGACATGCTGCATACAAAAAGATTCGCCTTGACGAGCTGAACACAATGCTGCTTCCAAATTCAAAATATATTCATACCGAGAAGTTATGGCTCTGCGTAGTTTGCGTGATTCGCATTGATTTCGCGAAATTCCTGGAATTTTGCGAAATTTCCGAAATTTCGCGGATGTTGATAATAATAGAATAATTATCGACCATTAATTTATATTGTATATTATTCTTGTCGTTGACAAACCATCCTAGCGTGAAACACTTAAGCCGCCAAGGTCACCCCCCATTGCTGCTTCATAGCACACTTGGCGGCTATTACTTTCATGTAAGCACCAATAATTTTCGAGTGATACCTTTACGATACTATTGTTTGCCAGAAGGAAGCATCTAGGTTGCCACGCCCAAAATAGTGGCATAAATAGACTTGGATGCTCACTTCTGGACTCGTCTCGCCAAATCTATATTCCACTGGAATTGTTTCCCGAATAAACAATTCCTTCAACGTAGTGGCATCCA